GAATAATTAAATATACAGAATATACAAAAAAAGATGATAGACTATGTCTATAGAGATATTCGTCTCGTTAGAGAAAGAGCATTGTTAACATTATGCCATTTTCTCTTGTGATCTTCAAGTTTATTATTAGATTTTGCTATTCGCTTTTCAATATTCTCGTAATAGATTAATAGGTTCTTAAACAAAGCTAGAATTGGAGGGTTTCCTTTATCTCTGAATTTATATAACGTCATTTTAAATATAATGAGGATCATATTGACTGTGACGTCATCAACCCCTAATAAAACTTCCTTTTTTGATAAAGTAGGTAAGAGTACGCCATACTGCTTAAGCCAGGATTGAATATCGAAATACAAATTTTTTGAGATTAAACATTCAACAAATAAATGCTCAACTGTTTCGAGGTGATACAAACAATAGGAACATGAAGGTGATTCAGTTTTATGAAAACGATAGAGATCTCGATTAAGATATAATATATTATTGACAATTTTGTATTGAAAGTAACGAAGATAGGAGTCTATTGTTGTTTTGTATATTCTTTTATACACATTTTCCCAAACAATTTCATGATCAAATTTTTTACTCAAGTTACTCTGTGCTGACGGTGGTACGAAAACCTTGTCAATAAGATGGAAATATAAGTTTTTTATCGAAATTTTTTCAAAACATATTTTACTTCCCTTTAATTGCAGTGATCTTTGGATACCTCCCCGTTTTTTATTCTTTATAATTTTCAATTCATTTTTCCACTCTTTTGGAATCGAATGAAACAACTGAAACCAGCTAAACTTGTCATCGTCATTCAAACCAAAGGATCTAGCATGCTCCCAGGTCATGATACCATTATCGTCGCAAAGATCTTTTATATAGTTTATTTGTTTYCTTGAAAATATTTTGATATATATTGATTCATTGTTTATTCTGATGTGCCTATTATTCCAAATACATTGCTCGTTCACATTTGGCAGAGCCTGGATTAAATCTGTATAAGTAATTCTAGCCCAAGAGGTAAGAATACTTTTATAAAAAATAGGAAGGTTAGTCGGAATTCTTTCACTGAAAAAATTTGAAGAAATTTTCCGAAAACCACCAATTTGTTTAAGGTAACTATTGGGAATTATGTTCCATGTTTTTTCCTCAGATTGAATTAGTTTGATAGCCCATTTGATTCTATATGCCTCAATGCGCGTTTCGAAATGAGGCAGTTTCAGCCCTCCACTAAAATAGTCTCCAATTAGAGTCGATACCTTAATTTTTGGTTTACGGCCATTCCATATGAAATCTTTAATTGAACTTTCTACTAGTCTGATAAAATCTGCATCAACATGCAAATTATTGCAAATATACGATAATTTAGGRAGTGCTAAAGATTTTAAKATTTGAATTTTTCCGTACAAGRTCAGGTTCCTCGATCTCCAAATAGTTAAWATCGTGTTGAAATTTGTTAGAACTCGCTGAAAGTTATTTTYATAGAGTAATGCTTTGTTCAATGTGTGAAAGATCCCTAATATTCTTATTCCATTTTGATGAAAGTCAATTTTCTTCATACCGTGTAAGTCATTTAGAGATTCTTCTGGACACCCAAGAACTCCCACTTCCGATTTGTTGTAGTTAATTTTTAGAGAAGATAAACTATGAAATAGGCTCAGCATTTCTAATACAGYATTTAAGGATGCTCTATCATTTAGAAAGAAGGTTGTATCATCTGCGAACAAGATAAGCTTTTTTTCATGAACATCGTCTAACTTTAAACCACGAATATCCGCACAGGACCTAATCATAATTGACATGATCTCGATTATCAAAATAAAAATATAAGGTGAAATGGGATCTCCTTGTKTTGTGCCTCTCTCTACATTAAAGAAATCTGTAACTTTTCCATTGTTCATAACACAACTTTGATTACTGCCTATCAGAATTTTGATCCATTTAATAAAAACACTACCAAAACCAAAACTTTGGAGAGTAGCGTATATAAAATTATGCTCTATACTATCGAAGGCTTTTTCGAAATCGGCTGCAAAAAAAATAATTTTTTATTTTGTGAGTAACAGTATTCAATA